AGAGGTGTCCCCCGCAAAGTACTACAACCCGGGAAAAGAATTAATTTGGAAGAATTCCGTGCAGTGTTAGTGGAGGCAGAAAATCGGTAAAAATAATAGGCCTCTCTCCCTACATGAGTGATACACCTGATGGAGATGTATTAACACCTTCTCACCTAATATGTGGAAGGAAATTGGAAGCTGCCCCTGTCTATAGAGATAATCCGGAAGAAAGTGATGAAGATTACAATGATGCGGCAGTGTTGTGTAATAAATTTAAATGTTAAATAAAGTAATTGATCATTGGTCTAATGTGTGGGGTAAGGAATATCTTCTTACACTACGTGAACACTTTTATGGTGCGACAGAGGCAGTAAATCGACAGACCATTCAACCAGGTGACATTGTGTTAATTGACACTGAACAACATCGAACATTGTGGCCTCTGGGCAAAGTATTGACATTGTATCCAGATGCACAAGGTGTTGTCAGGAATGTCAAAGTTTTGAGTCGTGGCCAGGAAAGTTTATGCACAATTAATAAATTGATTCCCTTGGAATTAATTGTTCAACCAAACGTAAATGAAAATCTGAGGAAAGTAACACGAGTGATATGGAAGATAACGCAGACCAAATGATGCCGGAAGATGAAATCGTAGTAAGACCTACTAGGGGAACAGCCACTCAAGCCAGAACTGGCTGGAATCGTCTCCTCAGATAAGCTCTCTAGATTTGTGCATAATTCTGGCCAGTGTTTTCATAAATTTAGTTAGTGAGGTTTTTCTGAGTATGATACAACTTAATATCCAGTCAAATTGGTGAGTGATATTAAGATATATTTTCCTTCTGTTATTTAATTGTGTATATATATAACCATTTATTATTTTTAATATACAGTCCACAAATTTATATATTTACCAGTAATCCTGGTGTATGTATATTTCATTTAATTAATAGGTCCAGAGCAACTTGTGGTTATGACAGTGGTAGGTATCGAAGGGGGACATTTTTTGCGACCTAGGTGTCCGAAATTCCTACTTGTCTATGTAACATTGATAAATAATAATTATCTTTGTTATCATTTACTGTTATGTACATAATTAGTTACATTCAGATAAATACAATTTTCCACACCTATTATTGTAAGCTGATCCTCTCTTTATATTCATGTAAATAACTCAGTTTACTTAATTCCTATTAAACCGCTTTTTATTGTAACTGATTTTCAAACAGTTGAGTTACTTAGCTGTTCTGTCCTTTAAAGTTATAATCATGACTGATTTCTGCTGTAACTTACTGCTAGGCTTTAAATATTAAGATATTACAAGGACCCCAATGGAAACAAGTAACTTTGACTTTTTTGTTATCTTAAGCAATTTATATATTTGATAAACTATGTAAGATAACTGTACCTATATATACCTGTACCTAAATAAACTTACTTATAATACTTAAGAATCTGCCCGAAGTATACATGCAACAAACGCGCATTTAGCGAATCTAAAATTAACTTTTAGGAATACCAGCAAAGAATCATTCTCGACACTACATATTCGTGCAACATATGTCAGCCTCATCTTGGAGTATGCAGTATCATTACTGAACACACACCTGATCAAGCATGTCAAAAACTTGAAAAATGGCAAAGGTTTGCAACGAGACTAGTCCAACACTTATGGGAGTACATATTACTGACACAAGTGACAAGTTGGGAGGCGGGGTCAGGAGCTAAAACTCGACAAATTCCAACACAAATAGGAGATCGCACACACACACACACACACACATACAACCACACACACACACACACACACACACACACACACACACACACACACACACACACACACACACTCTGTACGTCAGGCCCATACTGGAGTATGCAGCACCAGTTTGGAACCCACACCTGGTCAAACACGTCAAGAAATTAGAGAAAGTGCAAAGGTTAGTAACAAGGCTGGTTCCAGAATTAAGGGGAATGTCCTATGAAGAAAGGTTAAGGGAAATCGGTCTGACGACACTGGAGGACAGGAGGGTCAGGGGAGACATGATAACGACATACAAAATATTGCGTGAAATAGACAAGGTGGACATAGACAGGATGTTCCAGAGATGGGACACAGAAACAAGGGGTCACAATTGGAATCTGAAGACTCAAATGAGTCAAAGGGATGTTAGGAAGTATTTCTTCAGTCATAGAGTTGTTAGGAAGTGGAATAGTCTGGCAAGCGATGTAGTCGAGGCAGGAACTATACATAGTTTTAATACGAGGTATGATAAAGCTCATGGAGGACCCAGTAGCGGTCAGTGAAGAGGCGGGGACAGGAGCCGAGTCTCGACCCCTGCAACCACAATTAGATGAGCACAATTAGGTGAGTATACTGATCAAGAGAGCGCCGTAGCTGGAATTCAATATCATCAAACAGAAATACATCATTACTGACCTAGAGATGTCAGACTTGTGTGGAGGCGAGCGTCTGGCACAAGAAAAAGACAGTTACATGGAATCACTCCTTTAATTAAAAGTTCCATCACAAAGGTGACGTCCGGAGCGTCCTCTTCACCTTAATGAAACACTGTTGTTGCAGCTGCTCTCAGATATATTCACCACCTGCAGCAGCAGCACAACTAGCAGCAACTGCAGCACCACCACCAACAACAGCAGCAGCAGCAGGAGCAGCAGCAGCAGGAGCAGCAGCAGCAGGAGCAGCAGCAGCAGCAGCAGCGACAGCAAAGGAGCACCAGCAGCAGCACCACCACCACCAGCAACTGCAGAGCAGCAGCAGTAATAGCCCCAACACCTGTTATTAAGACCTCTCATCCCTGTTATCAACTGGTCAAGGGTTCACTCCCAGCTGTACACAAACCAGCTGGCGTTATCACAGTCATCCTTATAATCACATTTACCACTACCTCTTCATCAGAGAACCATCATCCTCTTTTCCCTCTACCATTAACCCTTTTCCCTTCATTAATGTGGGTAGCAGCACTACTCCAACGACCAGGAGCATCATCATTACGGGTCATTACCGCTGTCAACATGGTCATTAGCGCTCCGCCCTTCCTTGCTCAAACCAACTTTACACTCCGCAAACTGCCATTATCATCACCATCACAAATAACCCCACCATTTTCCCCTCCAGGCTTTACCTCCTTCACCCCGACACCCACTGTCTCTTCACCCACTGTCTTACCACCCAATAACCCTCAAACCCCATCTACCCAACCATACACAACGTTGCCCTCACCTCACTTACCCCTACATCATCCCACTGGCTTACTGTCAATTCTACCTCCATTAACCCAACTATCCCCTCACACCAGTTCATTATCTCATCTATACAACCCATTCTGTGTCGTGAAAGCATAACTAGGCTGTGCTCTCATAATATAACTGTAATAAAGAACAGTGCAGCTACACACTGCGGGTGTTCACAGTTTTGCAGAATACCCAAACATTCTCAGCATCTTCTAAATGAAAATTGTTATTATTATTATTATTATTATTATTATTATTATTATTATTATTATTATTATTATTATTATTATTATTATTAGTAGTAGTAGTAGTAGTAGTAGTAGTAGTCGTAGTAGTATAAGGGAGCGCTAAATTTGTAAAGGTCATACAACTCCTGGTGGGTGCTGCCTTCTTCGTGAAGGAGAGAGAAAAGGCAGCTTCTCTGCTCATCATGAGAGGTTTCTTGTTCTGTATGGTGTTGGGATGCTGCCTACTCTCCTGAATTGTGCCTTGGTGTGATTGTAGCCAAAGAGGCTGGTTTCTCTCCTGCCTTTCTTGGACAGCGCCTGATGTTCGTCTCTGCAAGCAGAGGGATAGGACCCTTGAATCCAGATCCCTAATGATGACCTTGGCTACTTCCTTGAAATATGGTTTTGTTCAAGCTTCAAGGATAAAGGCTTTTACTCAATAGCCAAAGAGTGAGGATGTTGCTGGCAGCGCGTTAATCACTGGTGAGGATTCATATTGTTGAGTACCCTATAATCCTTGCTGCTTTTGTCTTAATAGCTGGGTTGGCTGGGTCCTGGCTAACTGTCGAACTCAAATTTTTCTCCCTCCCAGGTCTTGATGTAGTCCCTAGTGACCTGAAGGAGCAGGTTCTAGAAATCAAGACTTCCCTCCTAGGTCTTGTAGTTCCTAGTGACCTGAAGGAGCAGGTTCTAGCGCTCAAGACTCTCCCCTCCCAGGTCTTGTAGTTCCTAGTGACCTAAAGAAGCAGGTCCTTACGATCAACTCTTTCCTCTCCCAGGTCTTGTAGTTCCTAGTGGCCTGAAGGAGCAGGTCCTAACAATCAAGACTCTCCCCTCCCAGGTCTTGACGTATGGCCGTCTGACCTTTGTGTAGACAAGAGCATTGTTACTCCCGGCTGCGTCCCCAGCAAGACTGTCTCCACACTGGAGGACCCCAAAGGGACACCAAGACAATCCCTTACGCTACCCTCGGTTCTCTCTCCCTCCCACCCTCTCTCTCTCTCTCTCTCTCTCTCTCTCTCTCTCTCTCTCTGGTTTGGTTAATGGACAGACGGGAGATGTGCAAAGCCTTTGGAATTCTTTTTTTGCTTCACAATCTTTTGTTTTGAATCTCTTTTATCTCCCTCCCACTTTCCCTCCGTCCCTCCCTCCCACTCTCCATCTCTCCCACTCTCCATCTCTCCCTCTCTCCATCTCTTCTTCTCACAACTCATCTACTGAGAACAACTATCTACTGCCATCTAGATTAAGAAATATGTATTACCTAGACGTCCGAGGCAAGGGTAGTAAAGCAGAAGGTTTTCTCCCCACCCTCCACTCCATGGGGTCACTGCCAGCATCGAACAGGGAGTAGAGGGTAGGGAGAGAACCTTCTTATTATCTTCGCTTCCAACACCCAGATAGTACATGATAATCCAGGGTAATAGAGCTAAACTGACATAAGGTATCATTCAAGTATCATAACTATCATGGCATCACAATTTTTACATAATTTCATGCTTATGGAAGACTGTAATTTGTCCTCTGGTGGTACAGGTGGCGGTGTTAGCTCAGCTGGACGGAAGACACTGACGCAGTTGAAGTGGACGTAAACACACTGGAAAGTCATTTGGTTTTATTGACGCTGCCGATTGAAAAGTTGGCGAAGTTGGCATTACTGACGTAGTCGAAGGGAAAGTTGGCGAAGTTGGCGTTACTGACGTAGCCGAAGGGAAAGTTGGCGAAGACGTTGGCGTTTCTGACGTGATCGAAGAGAAAAGTTGACGTAGTTTGCAGTGATGGGGATACACGAGGGTGAGCTGGTGCTGGTGGTGACGGTGCTGGCAGCCACAGTTGCTGTTCTTACTTCTGACCAGGTGAGTAGCTGACCTGACCAGGTGAGTAGCTGACCTGACCAGGTGAGTAGCTGACCTGACCAGGTGAGTAGCTGACCTGACCAGGTGAGTAGCTGACCTGACCAGGTGAGTAGCTGACCTGACCAGGTGAGTAGATGACCTGACCAGGTGAGTAGCTGACCTGACCAGGTGAGTAGCTGACCTGACCAGGTGAGTAACTGACCTTCCCACAAACTTCTTTTCTCAGACTCTGTACAGGCGAAATTTCTGAAAAAAAAAATGCTAGACAACTCAAGGTTTTTCTTTTCAGATATTAACATTTTGTTTGATTCTTCCCTTAAAAGAAGCTGAAACAGCAAGTTTGATTACAGTTATGCTAATTTGTGTTTGTACATAACTTAGCCTCCCTAGTCTTCTGACTAGCGAAGTTACATCCCCCCCCCCTTTTCCTTGATCCTATTCTACGTAGCTTCAATGATTAGGTGAGACTCTCAAGCTATCTTTCTCTCCCTCTCTCTCTCTCTTTCCAACCTCTCTTTTCTCTTTCTTCCCCATCCACTCTTTCTCCCTTTCTTCTGTTCTCCCTCTTTCTATCAAGCGAGTCTTCTATTTCCCCAACTCTTCCATCCAAATATCCCCATTACTTTCCTTTACTCCATTATCCTTCCCTGCCATCCTTTTCTATCCCTCATTCCTCCACCCATCTCCTTCCCTTTGATTTAAAATTGTACATGACAATCAGAATTCTTTTATAATTAAGCTTATCAAGTTGAAGAACTATGAAGTGTGAAATAGGAAATTATTACTCTCGTGTGTGTGTGTGAAAATACTTCCGTCCTCTCCCCCCACACGGAGAACTAGCATGAAAACAACCACGGAACGAGTGAGGATTGAACCCATGGAGAGTGAGTCTTAAAACTCTAGGCCAGAGTGTAAGCCACTGGGACAGGTGGCTCTAAGAAGAGTCATCCAACTATGTATATTTCTATTCACCATAGGGAGGTTAGCATGGGCCATCACTGTAACCACAAATGCATGTTTTTACAGATGAGTCTGCCACCAGCGCAGCTGGCGCAGCTGGTGGCAGACTCATACTGCTCTCACTCTCCCCTCACCCCAAACACCCTTCAAACTCTCCCATCAGTCGCAGCAGGAAGTGCCGGAGGTGAGCGAGGAGGTGCAGTGGTCGGAGGCTCTGGTGGAAGTGAATCTGATGCCCAGCCATGCCCACTCTGACGCCTTCGGACATGCCCACATCAGAGGCAACTCCCCCAACAGCTTCCTGAAGGTCACCATGGAGAACAGGTGAGGCAACAGTACTCTTATTTTCACTGATCAAAGTTTTAACAGGAATTCCTCAGAAAGGACCTCAAGTACTTCCCCTCAGGGAGGCCCTCAATACTTTCCCTCGGGAGGGCCCCAAGTACTTACCCTCAGGAGGACCCCAAGTACTTTTCCCCAGAAAGGACCTCAAGTACTTCCCCTCAGGGAGGACCCTCAAGTACTTACCCTCGGGGAGGACCCTCAAGTACTTACCCTCAGGGAGGACCCTCAAGTACTTACCCTCAGGGAGGACCCTCAAGTACTTACCCTCAGGGAGGACCCTCAAGTACTTACCCTCAGGGAGGACCCTCAAGCACTTACCCTCAGGGAGGACCCTCAAGTACTTACCCAGGAGGGCCCTCAAGTAATTTCCCTCAGGGAGGACCCCAAGTTTTTACCCTCAGGGAGGACCCCAAGTACTTACCCTCAGGGGGGAAACCCCCAAGTACTTACCCTCAGGGGGGACCCTCAAGCACTTTCCCTCAGGGGGGAACCCCCAATACTTACCCAGGGAGGACCCCAAGTACTACCCTCGGGGGGACCCCCCAATACTTACCCTCAGGGAGGACCCTCAAGTACTTACCCTCAGGGAGGACCCTCAAGTACTTACCCTCAGGGAGGACCCTCAAGTACTTACCCTCAGGGAGGACCCTCAAGTACTTACCCTCAGGGAGGACCCTCAAGTACTTACCCTCAGGGAGGACCCCAAGTACTTACCCCGGGGGGACCCCAAAACTTACCCTCAGGAGGACCCCAAGACTTTACCCTCAGGGGGGACCCTCAAGATTACCCCCAGGGAGGGGGCCCCCATACTTACCCTCAGGAGGACCCTCAAGTACTTACCCCAGGGAGGACCCTCAAGTACTTACCCTCAGGGAGGACCCTCAAGTACTTACCCTCAGGGAGGACCCTCAAGTACTTACCCTCAGGGAGGACCCTCAAGTACTTCCCAGATATTTCCTTTTTCTTCTTCCAACTTTTCATCTTTATTTCGCTCACAACACGAGAATGCCTCATCCAACTGGCTTCAAACCTTCAACACTGATTCTAGGAACAATCTGAATGTGCAGGTGTCCTATGACCCAAGTTGTTGAACACATTCCCAGCCTTCCGGAATGCCTCTGATATCAAACTTGCTAAACCTTGAGCAGCGTACCTGAAAACATTGCAAAAGTTGTCTCCTAACTCGACGTCCACACAGCCAGCACCATCCTGGGAGTCAGTACCATTACTGGACATTACAATAACATCAAAATGAAAGTGGTAATGCTCAGTAAAACCAGAGTGACAGGTTACAGCAGGTGAGAGAGCTTTCGCAATTAGAGGCGGGCAGGAGGAACCATGAATTGGACAGGAGCAAACAAAGTGGGCAGGAGCAAACATGAAGTGGACAGGAGGAACCATGAAGTGGACAGGAGCAAACAAAGTGGACAGGAGCAAACATGAAATGGTCAGAAGCAAACAAAAGTGGGAAGCAGCAAACATGAGCCGTCGGAACTTCAAAAGGCGGGAGGGAAAAGATGCAGGGTATACATGAAGGGCAGGTAAAGTAAGGAATGATAGTAAAGACTAAATACGGAGAGGAGTGGGGTGTATAAATAAAGGTATAAACTAGAAAACCTATAATATAAGGAGAAATAAAGGAAGAAGGGAATGATAACTGTTAGGTATATAATATATATATATTAATATAAATATATATAATATATATATATTATATATATATTTTATATATATATATATATATATATTATATATATATATACTACTAATGTGAGTAGTCACAAATAGGATTTGAATTTCTCTATCCTTTCACAGTGGTTGTTTTGCACACACACACACACACATATGTATATATATATATAAGTATATATATATATATATCATATATATATATATCATATATATATAAAATATATATATATATATATATATATATATTAATATATATAATTATATATATATATATATATATATATATATATATAATATATATATATATAAATACGCAACATGGAGCAGGAGAGAAGTGAGAAAAGCCTTTAACTGGTCCCCACGAGAGTCAGTGAGATACTCCCCAGAGCAAATAATGAACATTAATACTGTCTAATAAAAAAAAAGCGGAGATATGGAAGAAGAAATAAAAAAAATGGATGTCGGAGATAGATAATGGGGGTAATGGAGACAGATACAAAGGGCAGACATTGTAACACTTGCCTGAGTAGACTCGGGCTGCAATATAATGAAGAGAAGTTGGAATGAAAAGTCGAGAATAAGTAACGTTATTTCACACAAGAAGCGCACTCTCGTTCAATGTCTCGTCGGGTGAAGGATCAAGTGAACGCAACAATACATAGCCAGAGATAGAAAGGCCAACAGTGAATTGTAATTTCGGTTCTTGTAAACAGACATAAACAGAGGGGAGGGGGGAGTGGGAGAGCAACTTTTTGAGCTACTCAGATATTCCCCCCTCTCCCCCCCCCCCGTGACCTCTGGTATCTAATGTAATAAAGCCAGTAGCAGTAAATAGTAAGACAACGTCAACAGAAAGCAAACAGTAGCTACGGGCTAGGGTAGTCAGTAAAGCTAATGTTTGATGGTGGCAATAAGTTAGAAATAAGCGATTTATGGGTAATTATGGAAGATGTTGATCAAGAGTAAATGTACGGGGTTGTGGAGGGTGAGAATATGAAGGGAAGGAAGGTGGGTCGGTGTCTATTGCAGGTTTTGTCTTCCTAATAAAAGCCAATTTGATCTCAGTTTCTGTAGATAAGGAGGCAGCAGGAAGCATGTAGCAAGAGGAAGAGGCAGGTGGAGTAGAGAGACAATTGTAGCTGCCAAAATCTGGGTAGATAGAGAAAGGGTAGCGGTGTCCTTGCAAAAAGGAATCTGGGAGGGGAGAGGGTGACAGACACAGGAGGCAAGGGACAACACACAGATGTAGTGGAATGTTAGTCACAGAGGAACAAGAGTATGGAAGGGAGTTTTGGTGACTTGGGGAGCTTTGGGTCTTTGTTTCTCCACCCACGTAACCTTCTCCAGCTTCGTCGGAGAAGACTAAATGGGTGGAGAAACATGGAAAAGGTAAAAGGACAAAGGAGTAAGAATTTGAGAAGGTAAAGAGGTAGAAACGTCATAAGCGAAGACTTCACAAGGATTGGACAAAGGGGGGTGACTGTAGGAGAGGAGACAACAGAGACTTGAGGGCGCGGAGTTGCTCTGAAGTGGGAAAGTCGTGGAAATTTTCCTTAGTATTGGAGGCGGGTTAAAGCTACAGAGGATGAGAAACTTGCTCTTTCTTGAGACAACGGATTCTTCGTTCTCTTAAGAAAACCGAGCAACGATGGGAATGTGCAGGATGACCTTCACGGGTAGGACCAGTGGCTGCGAGATGGATTATTATGATCTGCTGCACAGCAGACCGGGCACTCTGCCGGTTATCTAAAATATTTGGCTAGGTGGCCAAAATGCCAGCAATATCTACATTGTTGAGGTGTTGGGAGCAATTCCTGCACTTGTAAGAGTTGACCTGCTTATAAATGGAGACAGGAAGCTGCCGACAGTCATAGTTCAGATTGGAAGTGTTGCTTAGAGAGCGCCTCTGACCTCAGGCTGTGCGGAATGTTTCCACTATGGTGACTGGGAGGATCTGGAATTCAATTTGCCCCTGAATGTCCAAGGTTTCGGGGGTCAACGCCCCCACGGCCCGGTCTGTGACCAGGCCTAGCGGTGGATCAGGGTCTGTTCAACCAAGCTGTTACTGCTGACAGCAAGTGTACTTACGAACACAGCCCGGCTGGTCAGGTACCGACTTCGGGTGCCTGTCCAGTGCCAGTAAGGCAAGCAGTGACGATGTTTGGAAAGAAAAGAATTTCGTCCAAGAATGTCTCTGAAAAATGGCTTGGAGGGGAGGAAGTTTCTATAGACTCTTGCTTAGTATGGGAGCTAGGAGGGCAGGAACAGAGTGAGGGCCTGCCATCACGGGTCGAGGAGGGCAGCAACAGGGTGAGGGCCTGCCATCACGGGTCGAGGAGGGCAGGAACAGAGTGAGGGCCTGCCATCACGGGTCGAGGAGGGCAGCAACAGGGTGAGGGCCTGCCATCACGGTCGAGGAGGCAGCAACAGGGTGAGGGCCTGCCATCACGGGTCGAGGAGGGCAGCAACAGGGTGAGGGCCTGCCATCACGGGTCGAGGAGGGCAGCAACAGGGTGAGGGCCTGCCATCACGGGTCGAGGAGGGCAGCAACAGGATGAGGGCCTGCCATCACGGGTCGAGGAGGGCAGCAACAGGTGAGGGCCTGCCATCACGGGTCGAGGAGGGGCAGCAACAGGTGAGGGCCTGCCATCACGGTCGAGGAGGGCAGCAACAGGGTGAGGGCCTGCCATCACGGGTCGAGGAGGGCAGCAACAGGATGAGGGCCTGCCATCACGGGTCGAGGAGGGCAGCAACAGGATGAGGGCCTGCCATCACGGGTCGAGGAGGGCAGCAACAGGGTGAGGGCCTGCCATCACGGGTCGAGGAGGGCAGCAACAGGGTGAGGGCCTGCCATCACGGGTCGAGGAGGGCAGCAACAGAGTGAGGGCCTGCCATCACGGGTCAAGGAGGGCAGCAACAGGGTGAGGGCCTGCCATCACGGGTCGAGGAGGGCAGCAACAGGGTGAGGGCCTGCCATCACGGGTTCGAGGAGGGCAGCAACAGGGTGAGGGCCTGCCATCACGGGTCGAGGAGGGCAGCAACAGAGTGAGGGCCTGCCATCACGGGTCGAGGAGGGCAGCAACAGGGTGAGGGCCTGCCATCACGGGTCGAGGAGGGCAAACAACAGGGTGAGGGCCTGCCATCACGGGTCGAGGAGGGCAGCAACAGGGTGAGGGCCTGCCATCACGGGTCGAGGAGGGCAGCAACAGGGTGAGGGCCTGCCATCACGGGTCGAGGAGGGCAGCAACAGAGTGAGGCCTGCCATCACGGTCGAGGAGGGCAGCAACAGAGTGAGGGCCTGCCATCACGGGTCGAGGAGGGCAGCAACAGGGTGAGGGCCTGCCATCACGGGTCGAGGAGGGCAGCAACAGGGTGAGGGCCTGCCATCACGGGTCGAGGAGGCAGCAACAGAGTGAGGGCCTGCCATCACGGTCGAGGAGGGCAGCAACAGGGTGAGGGCCTGCCATCACGGGTCGAGGAGGGCAGCAACAGGTGAGGGCCTGCCCTCACGGGTCGAGGAGGGCAGCAACAGGGTGAGGCCTGCCATCACGGGTCGAGGAGGGCAGCAACAGGTGAGGGCCTGCCATCACGGGTCGAGGAGGGCAGCAACAGAGTGAGGGCCTGCCATCCCCGGTCGAGGAGGGCAGCAACAGGATGAGGGCCTGCCATCACGGGTCGAGGAGGGCAGCAACAGGGTGAGGGCCTGCCATCACGGGTCGAGGAGGGCAGCAACAGGGTGAGGGCCTGCCATCACGGGTCGAGGAGGGCCAGCAACAGAGTGAGGGCCTGCCATCACGGGTCGAGGAGGGCAGCAACAGGGTGAGGGCCTGCCATCACGGGTCGAGGAGGGCAGCAACGGGTGAGGGCCTGCCATCACGGGTCGAGGAGGGCAGCAACAGAGTGAGGGCCTGCCATCACGGGGCGAGGAGGGCAGCAACAGGGTGAGGGCCTGCCATCACGGGTCGAGGAGTTGGAACAGATAGCTGCCATCACTCGTCGAGGACGTGCGAACAGATGGTCAAGGAGGCAGAACAGGGTGAAGGCCTCCAAGGGTCGAGGATGCGGCAACAACCTGGGTGGAGGGCCTGCGTCACGGTCACGTTAGTGGTATATACCCACTGAGATCGAAACATTAATAGAACAATCGAAGAACGAAGGAACAAATGTGATGCGAACTTACTGGTGCGAGGCAGGTCCCAAGTCTCCTTTTCCGGATAAGCCATGCAAACACCAACCTAGGGCCTCAGGCAGGTCCCCAAATTTCCTTACCGGTAGCCAACACCGCAACCGACCAGGTCAGGGCACATGCTTCAAGGGCAACACGCAACCGACCTTAGCACATCTATCAGTATTTATCCAACCTATTTTTAAAGTACACAACGTTCTGGCCTCTATAACTGTACTCGGGAGTTGTTCCACTCATCCACAACTCTATTACCAAACCAGTACTTTCCTATATCCTTCCTGAATCTGAATTTTTCCAACTTAAAACCATTGCTGCGAGTCCTGTCTAGCTAGATATTTCAGCACACTATTTACATCCCCTTTATTTATTCCTGTCTTCCATTTATACACCTCAATCATATCACCCTAATTCTACGTCTTCTAGAGAGTGCAGTTTCAGGGCCCTTAGTCTATCCTCATAGGGAAGGTTTCTGATACATGGATCAACTTTGTCATCCTCCTTTGTACATTTTCCAGAGAATTTATATCCATTCTGTAATACGGTGACCAAAACTGTGCAGCATAATCTAAATGAGGCCTAACCAAGGATGTATAGAGTTGAAGAAAAACCCTGAGGACTCCTATTATTTATGCTTCTTGATATGAAGCCAAGGATTCTATTAGCTTTATTGCGAACACTTATGCACTGTTGTCTTGGTTTTCAGATTACTGCTAACCAGAACTCCTAAATCTTTTCGCAATCCGTAATATTAAGATCTACATTATTTAGTTTTATATGTGGCATGGTTATTGTCCTGTCCAACATTTAGAACTTTGCATTTGTCTATATTAAACTGCATCTGCCACTTCTCCGACCACTGCATCAGTCTATTCAAATCTTCCTGGAGTGCTCGAATGTCCTCGTCAGAATGAATTCGACGGCCTATTTTGGTGTCATCGGCAAACTTGCCGATGTCGCTCTTTATGCCCTCATCTATGTCGTTTATGTAGATTGTGAACAGCAGGGGGCCCAACACTGACCCCTGTGGAACACCGCTCGTGACGCTTCCCCACTCTGATTTCTCCCCATTTATGCAAACTCTCTGCTGCCTATTTGTCAACCATGCCTCTATCCAGGAAAAAATTTCTCCTGTTCCATGGGCCTTAATTTTCCTCAATAGTCTCTGATGTGGGACCCTGTCAAAAGCCTTACTGAAGTCCATGTACACAATATCATATTCATTACCATGATCTACCTCCTCAAATACCTTAGTGAAAAATGTTAATAAATTCGTAAGGCAGGAACGCCCCTTTGTAAAACCATGCTGAGATTCGTTGATTAATTTATGCTTTTCAAGGTGGCTACGAACTGCCTCGGCAATTATTGATTCCATAAATTTTCCCACTATGGAGGTTAGGCTTATTGGTCTATAGTTCGAAGCTAAGGACCTGTCACCTGTTTTTGAAAATAGGTATCACATTGCCATTTTCCACTTATCTGGCACCATGCCAGTTTGTAGTGATATGTTGAAAAGATTAGCCAAATGTGTGCTAAGCTCCTCTTTACATTCCTTTAGAACCCTTGCATACAGTTCATCAGGGCCTGGGATTTGTTAGGTTTTAATTTATCAATTTGCCTAAGGACCATGTCACTTGTGACCCTAATCGTGCACAGTTTATTATCGTCCTGTTCTACATAATTTATCATTACTGGAATATCGCTGGTATCCTCCTGTGTAAAAACTGAGAGGTAGTATGTGTTAAAAATTCTACACATTTCCTTATCACTGTCAGTGAGCTGACCCGAGGAACTTTTGAGTGGGCCTATCTTGTCCCTGATCTTACTTCTGTATACCTGAAAGAATCCTTTTGGGTTAGTCTTCGATTCTCTTGCAACTTTAACCTCATAATCTCTTTTTGCTTTTCTAATTCCCTTTTTTATTTCTCTCTTTAACTGAATATATCGATTTCTTAATTGCCCCTCTCCTCTTTTGATTTGCCTATATATGCCTCTCTTTTGACCAATCAGATATTTTAATCTATTGTTCATCCATTTAGGATCATTTTTGTTTGATCTGATTTCCCTATTTGGAACATAATTTGACTGAGCAGCTAGAACTATGCCCTGGAAAGCATCATATCGGCAACCATCACCACCTACCTGACCCTTAGTCAGTCATTCCAGTTCAGCCCAACCTAAGTAATTTTTCAGTCCTATGAAATCAGCCAAGCGAAAGTCAGGGACGGAGACTTGATTGCCATTATTAGGGGAATTCCATGATATATTAAAACTGAGTGATTTGTGATCACTTTCCCCAAGCTCATCATTAACCTCAAGATTATTAATTAGTGTTTCCCTACTGGCAAGAACCAGTCAAGGAGTTATTTCCCCTAGTTGGCTCTGTCACAAACTGTTTTAAAAAACAATCCTGGATCGTATCAAGAAAGTCACCTGACTCTAAATTTCCTGTCAAATTGCTCCAGTCAATCTGTCTATAGTTGAAATCTCCCATTAGCACAACATTTTCGTATGTAGATGCCTTACGAATTTCGTCCCATAGAAGTTTACTGCACTCCCTATCAAGATTTGGGGCCCTGTAAATCACACCCAAAATTAGTTTTTCTCGGCCCTCGAGAAGCTGTAACCAAACAGATTCAGTGGCTGACGCTTCTAATTTAATATCTTGTCTAACACAACAATTTAAATTGTCTCTGACATACATCGCTACTCCACCACCTTTCCTGTTGACCCTGTTGATGCGTATGTCTCTCGGTGTGTATAGGCTGAAAGTGTATCTCAATCTTTATTTTAAGTAATATAGTATTCTTGACTGGTGGTTAACAGGTGACACAGTCTTGACATGACCCTCGGGTAGTAGATAGGCTTTAAACAGTAATTCAATAAATAATTATTATTTAAAGAAAAGAAATTAAAAATTTACATTAAATTTATATTTGAATAAAGTAAATCAAGAAAATACTGACGACTCACTTGCTCTGCAGTCACTATCACCTCACCCTCACACCTACTAAATGGCTGGTCGCCTCTGGGGCGACCATGACACGTGTGGGTGTAGGCGGTGTTGCGGACGTGGGCGGAAGCGTGGGCAGAGAGTACCTGCCTTTGGAGCCCCGCCCGTGCTTGTACCAAGCCCACCCTGAGGACATGGGCGGCCAGGCGACAACAGGCACTGTCTCCCTCTGTCACAGTGACGGACCGGTGAGTGTTTATTTTTAATTATCTGTTTGAATTTAAGGGAACTGAGGTGGAGCTCAGTTCCCTTAAATTGTGTTGGCTCTCGCTTCCACTCTCATTACTCAGATCATTCCACTTAGTCACCATTCTTTTGCTAAAGAAATAATTCCTAGCATCCCTGTGACTTATCTGTGTTTTCACTTTACAGCTGTCCCCTCGCGTTCCTTGTCTCCCGTCTCTAGAACAATCTGTCACTGTTCAACCTGTCAATGCTCACCCTGAATCGTAAAGTACAGGATCGAGTGGCGAAAGTACTCGATCCTGTAGTCTCGTTTGTGGAAACACCTCAAATAGACCTATCTAGGTCCATTTGCAGTCTTTCTTGGTCCTCACCTGTTTATATTCTCCTAATTAATGTCACATCATCTGTGAACAGGAATACGTCTGGCAGCATCCCTTCCGTCATATTCAGGTATGCAAGTAGTTCCGGTCCTAATACTGATCCTCAGTCGTTATATACGTCCATTCTGATATTTCTTCCCGGGCAATCACTCGATGGTTTCTTCTTGTTCAGTATTCCTTGATCCCTGTTTCTCCTGCTTGTTTCTCTAGCTCTTGTCCCCGTCTCTTATGCGGTACTCTGTTGAAAGCCTGTGTAGCGGTTTAAAAATATGCAGTCTAGCCACCACTCTCTCGCCAGCCTCACTGTTATGTACTCGTGGAACTCCAGCAGGTTTGTGAGTCAGGATTTACCATCTTAAAAGCAGTGTGTTTGTAGACGGGATCAAAGGAAGGCACCACCAGGATGTGCGTCCACACACACACACACACACACACACACACACACACACACACACACACACACACACACACACACACACACACACACACAAGACAAGAGAGAGAGGGGTGGATCGACTGCATCTTTTTGGACTGCAAGAAAGCCTTCGACACAGTTCCTCACAAGAGGTTACTGCAAAAGCTAGAGGATCAGGCACACATAACAGGAAAGGTACTGCAATGGATCAGAGAATACCTGACAGGGAGGCAACAACGAGTCATGGTACGTGACGAGGTGTCAGAGTGGGCGCCTGTGACAAGCGGGGTTCCACAGGGGTCAGTCCTAGGACCTGTGCTGTTCTTGGTATATGTGAATGACATAACGGAAGGGATAGACTCAGAAGTGTCTTTGTTTGCGGATGATGTGAAGTTAATGAGAAGAATAAAATCGGATGAGGATCAGGCAGGACTACAAAGAGACCTGGACAGGTTACAAGCCTGGTCCAGCAACTGGCTCCTTGAGTTTAACCCTGCCAAATGCAAAGTCATGAAGATTGGGGAAGGGCAAAGAAGACCGCAGACACAATATAGTTTAGATGGCCAAAGTCTGCAAACCTCACTCAAGGAAAAAGATCTGGGGGTGAGTATAACACCGAGCATATCTCCTGAGGCGCACATCAATCAGATAACTGCTGCAGCATATGGGCGCCTGGAAACCTACGGATAGCGTTCCGATACCTTAGTAAGGATTCGTTCAAGACTCTGTATACCATTTACGTCAGGCGTACTGGAGTATGTAGCACCAGTTTGGAATCCACACCTAGTCAAGCACGTCAAGAAATTAGAGAAAGTGCAAAGGTTTGCAACAAGACTAATCCCAGAGCTACGGGGATTGTCCTACGAAGAAAGGTTGAGGGAAATCGGCCTGACGACACTGGAGGCCAGGAGGGTCAGGGGAGACATGATAACGACATATAAAATACTGCGAGGAATAGACGAGGTGGACAAAGACGGGATGTTCCAGAGATGGGACACAGACACAAGAGGTCACAATTGGAAGTTGAAGACTCAGATGAATCAAAGGGATGTTAGGAAGTATTTCTTCAGTCATAGAGTAGTCAAGCCGTGGAATAGCCTAGAAAGTGAAGTAGTGGAGGCGGGAACCATACATAGTTTTAAGGCGAGGTATGATAAAGCTCATGGAGCAGGGAGAGAGAGGACCTAGTAGCAATCAGTGAAGAGGCGGGGCCGGGAGCTATGACTCGACCCCTGCAGCCACAAATAGGTGAGTACAAATAGGTGAGTACATGACTACACAGTGGGTTCTGAAACGCTTGTTTCACTCTGTGTTTATGTTTCACTCCACTGTACACTCCGCGTTTTCCGTTTCATTCAAAGTGTCTCCTGCGTTTTTTGCGTTACAACGCACTGCATAATTAAGAGAATTGAGGCCAGTAGGCCAGACAGAGAGGGTGGGTCATGTAGTGAGGGTGGGTCAGGCTGGGAGGGTGGGTCATTGTGAGGGTGGGTCATACAGTGAGGGTGGGTCACGCAGTGAGGGTGGGTCAGGCTGGGAGGGTGGGTCATTGTGAGGGTGGGCCAGGCAGGGAGGGTGGGCCTGGCAGGGAGGGTGGGCCAGGCAGGGAGGGTGGGCCAGGCAGGAAGGGTGGGTCAGGCAGGAAGGGTGGGTCAGGCAGGAAGGGTGGGTCAGGCTTGATTACCTAGTTGAGATTTTGATATTAAATGGGAGAAATGGGGCAAAAATGGGAAGGATGAAAAATAAAACGGGACTTGTGAAAGTGGGGAATGAAAAATGAACAAAAGAAATGGAAAATCTTTAACATTAACGATAGAGAGAGAGAGAGAGAGAGAGAGAGAGAGAGAGAGAGAGAGAGAGAGAGAGAGAGAGAGAGAGAGAGAGAGAGAGAGAGAGAGAGAGAGAGAGAGAGAGAGAGAAAGGGAAAAATATCTGTATTGTGGAACAGAGAATAGAGTTGGGTAAATCCTCGCAAAAAAGGGATTACCTGGGATTTGTGTAAGAGCATTATGTCTTCCATCGTTCCTCTTAACCCCTTCTCACCCAAGCCTCGTCTCTCTCTCTCTTTCTCTCTTTCTGTTTACAGTCATTCATCCGCTAGTGAGGCGCTAAGTGTAGCAGGTGAGGGAACAATATCAGCGCACTCTGCTCAACAAACCCTCATAATCTCCGTAATGGAAGGGATTTACCCTGTCCTAGCGTCGATCCGCATATATTTTGAATGTTTATTTTTTTTTGTGCTACCCACCGTCCCCCGTCCACCTGTCTGTTTTAGTCTAGGTAATTCACTGTCCCTTCCTTTTCTCTCTTTACATCCTTCTTCTGCTTTCTTCTTTGACTTCTCCAGTGACACTATCTTCTGATAACCCATTTTAAACGAGCCTCGAGTACTGTTCTTCAGGAGAGTGCAGCCAGAGTGGCAAATGCTGCCCGTCTTGTTAGGTAATTCAACGTCTTCTGGCAATGTATAAGGTTAGGCCGGGTGGGAAATATTGAGATGCTGAAGTTTCTTGCTAAAATTATAGGTCCAGGGATGCCTGGTCGAGGCCAGAGAGGAGTTACCTTGCGTAGCTCTCTATCATGTTCATGAAAATGGTATATATTGAGAGAGAGAGAGAGAGAGAGAGAGAGAGAGAGAGAGAGAGAGAGAGAGAGAGAGAGAGAGAGAGAGAGAGAGAGAGAGAGAGAGAGAACCTTGAGTAGATTATAGATACACAAGTGCTGTCCATTGCTTGCTTTCCTTGTTAAAGATTCATCATATGGTCTTTAATCGATGCGGCTGAGTCATATATTCCCCCCCCTCCCTCCCGTCCATGGTATCACCATGGCAGAGCGATGAGTGTCTACCATTCATCTTAACAGCGGCTCCAGCAGTTAGGGTGGCCAGACAGCATCATTATAGTCCTCATCTGCGTTCCATGGCTGACAGACACAATTGTCAGGGGTTGTACAAGGCAGACACAACACCAGGTTGGTGACTGATGTGTCTGAGGCGATAAGTGGTAGTCTTCTGTCTGTCTGTCTGTCTGTCTGTCTCTCTCTCTCTCTCTCTCTCTCTCTCTCTCTCTCTCTCTCTCTCTTTCTCTTTCTCTGTCATCTAGGATACGAGTGTAGTCAATTTGGTATTCTAAGTTATATTGTATAACTCTAGAAGTCATTTCGTGGGTCTAACTTAACCACATGCGTTTATGTGTGTGTGTGTGTGTGTGTGTGTGTGTGTGTGTGTGTGTGTGTGTGTGTGTGTGTACTCACCTCACCTAGTTGAGGTTGCAGGGGTCGAGTTCAAGCTCCTGTCCCCGCCTCTTTACTGGTCGCTACTAGGGCACTCTCCCTGAACCGTTTGTGGGTGGGAAGGGATGGGTAATGTAGTACAACATCCACACCCACAGCCACCCACACTGTCACCCACTAATAGTGAGGCCACCAGGAGGCCTGGTCACAGACCGGGCCGCGGGGGCGTTGACCCCCGGAACTCTCTCCAGGTAAACTCCAGGTAAAACCTACAATGCTGTCACCCACACTGCCACCCATCAACAGTGCCGTCATCCACATTGATTTCCACTCACAGCGCTTCCACCCACACTGTCTTCCACCCACAGTACTACCACCCACACTGTCTTCCACCCACACTGTCACCCACCAACAGTGCCGCCACCCACATTGTCTTCCACCCACAGTGGTGCCACCCACACTGTCACTCACCCACAGTGCTGCCACCCACATTGCCCTCCGCCCACAGTGCTGCCACCCAAACTGTCTTCCACCCACAGTGCTGCCACCCACACTGTCACCCACCCACAGTACTGCCACCCACACTGTCACCCACCACAGTGCTGCCACCCACACTGTCACCCACCCACAGTGCTGCCACCCACACAGTCACCCGCTCACAGTACTGCCACCCACACTGTCACCCACCCACAGTGCTGCCACCCACACTGTCACCCACCCACAGTGCTGCCACCCACAGTACTGCCACCCACACTGTCACCCACTCACAGTACTGCCACCCACACTGTCACCCACTCACAGTGCTGCCACCTACACTGTTACTCACCCACACTGTCGCCCACCCACAGTGCTGCCACCCACATTGTCACCCACCCACAGTGCTGCCACCCACACTGTCAACCACCCACAGTGCTGCCACCCACACTGTCACCCACTCACAGTACTGCCACCCACACTGTCACCCACCCACAGTGCTGCCACCCACACTGTCACCCACCCACAGTGCTGCCACCCACACTGTCACCCACTCACAGTGCTGCCACCCACACTGTCACTCACCCACACTGTCACCCATCCAGAGTGCTGCCACCCACACTGTCACCCACCCACAGTGCTGCCACCAACACTATCAACCACCCACAGTGCTGCCACCCACACTGCCACCCACTCACAGTACTGCCACCCACACTGTCACCCACCCACAGTGCTGCCACCCACACTGTCACCCACCCACAGTGCTCCCACCCACAATGTCACCCACCCACAGTGCTGCCACCCACACTGTCAACCACCCACAGTGCTGCCACCCACACTGTCACCCACTCACAGTGCTGCCACCCACACTGTCAACCACCCACAGAGAGTGATGCTGATGACTGCTGACGAGATGACGGAGTTGTTACCCCTGCAGTACGGCGGAGGGGCGGGTGCTGACCAGCCCACCACCTCTAAGAGAGTGGGCGGCACCCACGCACCACTCAACACCCACGTTGTCAAGCGCCACCCACTGCCGGCTGTCATGGACCAAGACTGCCAGAGTGAGTAATGTAGCCTGGGGAGGGAGTAGTGTAGCCTGGGGAGGTAGTAGTGTAGCCTGGGGAGGGAGTAGTGTAGCCTGGGGAGGTAGTAGTGTAGCCTGGGGAGGGAGTAGTGTAGCCTGGGGAGGTAGTAGTGTAGCCTGGGGAGGTAGTAGTGCAGCCTGGGGAGGTAGTAGCGTAGCCTGGGGAGGGAGCAGTGTAGCCTGGGGAGAGAGCAGTGTAGCCTGAGGAGGGAGTAGTGTAGCCTGGGGAGGGAGTAGTGTAGCCTGGGGAGGGAGCAGTGTAGCCTGAGGAGGGAGTAGTGTAGCCTGGGGAGGGAGTAATGTATCCTGGGGAGGGAGCAGTATAGCCTGGGGAGGGAGTAGTGTTGCCTGGGGACTGAGTAGTGTAGCCTGGGGAGGGAGTATTGTAGCCTGGGGAGGGAGTAGTGTAGCCTGGGTAGGGAGTAGTGTAGCCTGGGGAGGTAGTAGTGTAGCCTGGAGAGGGAGTAGTGTAGCCTGGAGAGGGAGTAGTGTAGCCTGGGGGGAGTAGTGTAGCCTGGGGAGGTAGTAGTGTAGCCTGGAGAGGGAGTAGTGTAGCCTGGAGAGGGAGTAGTGTAGCCTGGAGAGGGAGTAGTGTAGCCTGGAGAGGGAGTAGTGTAGCCTGGAGAGGGAGTAGTGTAGCCTTAAGAGTAGGGCATCCAGCGGAACTGGATGTTGTACTCGCTACCCAATGACATACGTTGGTGTGGATGACTCTAGGCTAATTTCATTCTAGTCCCAATTTGGTGTACTAGTACGACGAGCAGTATTTTATATTATTGTGACCACGAACAAGTGGTATTGATCAATAACAATACTGCACTAGCCAAGGACTTGAACCCATGCTGCTTTGGCCTGCCTCATGGTTCAGTGGATAAGGGCGTCATGTGTTTTCGCCCGCCATGAGGCAGGCCAAAACAGCATGGGTTCGAGTCCTTGGCTAGTGCAGTGTTGTTATTGATCAATACCACTTGTTCGTGGTCACAATAATATATATATATATATATATATATATATATATATATATATATATATATATATATATATATATATATATATATATGATAAATTAGAGACATGTGCAACTCTTGGGTATCTTTATTAAGGAAACGTTTCGCCACACAGTGGCTTCATCAGTCCATACATAGGAGAAGCTTGAAGAACGTGTCGATTCTGTGAACCATTCATCTATAATCCTGTCAGACACTGCAACTTCTTGGGATCTTAATACTTGGGAATTCTTCGCTTGCCTAACCCTTGGGCACGACCTACTTCCATAGTGGACAAATGTGACACCACCTACGACTGCTGCACCTCTCTTACCTACGGTTTATAAGCTCCTCCTCTCATATGCCGTATTCTACTCAAGATTGATGGACTGACCACATCGACTCAAGGCTGAGGGACTGATTACCTCATTCTCCTCCTGTTCTTCAAGCTTCTCCTGTGTATGGACTGATGAAGCCACTGTGTGGCGAAACGTTTCCTTAATAAAGATACCCAAGAGTTGCACATGTGTCTAATTTATCAACGTGTCGGTTCTGTGAACCATTCATCTATATATATATATATATATATATATATATATATAATTATATATATATATATATATATATATATATATATATATATATATATATATATTTATATAATCTTTTTCAGGTCATTCGAGCTGCCTCCGGACCCCCAGTGTTCCGACACCCACTGAACTGCCCGACCTCAGCCAGGTCCTGGTGGATCCCTCAGTAAGTAGCCTGACATGATCTAACCTGACTTGTCAAGGGGTCATCTGAATTAACTTGAACTTTTCTTATCGACAGTGCTTTGACCTATGGTGAGGTCAGCCGTTTAAACCCAATTTGACAGTTTTTGACCACTAGGCTTGATATTAAATAAGATGTTGGGATTTTTAACCCGGAGGGTTAGCCACCCAGGATAACCCAAGGAAGTCAGTGCGTCATCGAGGACTGTTTCCCTTGTTTCCAGTGCGTTCCTTCAGTGAGCTAACTTAAATTTACTTCAGTCTGAAGTGAGTGAGTGTGTGTACTCACTTAATTGTGGTTGTAGGGGTCGAGACTCAGCTCCTGTGTGTGTGCGTGTTCAAATATACTTGAGACAGAAGAGAGGAGAGATAGAGATCGAGAGGAGAGAGAGGATGAGAGCAGAGAGGAGAGAGAGATGAGGAGGAGAGAGAGAGAGAGAGAGAGAGAGAGAGAGAGAGAGAGAGAGAGAGAGAGAGAGAGAGAGAGAAAAATGCATACACATAAAAAGTTAAAGAGCCTATAAAAGATAATACAAATCTTCCTCTCTCTCTCTCTCTCTCCTTCTCCTTCCCCTCTCTCTCTCTCTGTCTCTTTCGCTCTCTCTCTCTTCTCTTCTCTCTCTCTCTCTCTCTCTCTCTCTCTCTCTCTCTCTCTCTCTCTCTCTCTCTCTCTCTCTCTCTCTCTCTCTCTCTCTCTCTCTCTTTCTCTCTCTCTCTCCCTCCCATCACAGGAGCAGGAGGTGAAACGGGTGGCGGGGGAGACGGCCGAGGTTGAGCCTCTATCAGTGGAGTTGGGACTCTTCCTGGACAAAGCTCTGCTCGACCTGTTCTCAGAGTACCTACCTTCCCAGCAGGAGCTCATCGACCTCGTCCTCGGTCTCGTCAACAACGTAAGTACCTCGAGGAGAGAAACGTTGTGCAACTAGATTTAGTTAGGACAACGTTTCGCTCTATGTAGCGTGCTTATGCTCTCACTCACTCTTACGCTAATTACTTTGGGGTAAGAGATGGGACTTAGGTACCCAGAAAGAGGAGGTTGTTACTTACTGTAGGTAAGTAACTTTATTCCCTTGCTTAGGCTCCGTCTATCAAGGTATCTTGAATGTTTACCGAGTCCTACATATGTTCCTATTTCTCCTATATGTGTTCCTGCAGGAGAAATAGCCGCTAGGTGATATGTGAAGCAACTGCTCCTATAGATGTGTCTTCTCGCGCAGGTGCTCCCTGTTTACTGTTCCTAGGCAATGCTCCTCCTTGAGGCGCACCTCCAGCATTCTCCTTAGATAATGCCCTGATGTACCTCCTTCATCCACAGGTGCAGGCACTGTACCGTCACCAGTCACTGGGACGCCAGGTGAACTTTACCATTACTCACCTGCGCCTGCTAGACACCCAGCCGAAGGACCTGCCCACCCACAAAGGCAACAGGATCATGCTTCTGAAGTCCTTCTGTGAGTACAACCAGAGGAACAATGATCCTGACGATACTAGCCCTGACCACTGGGACATCGGTGTTTACCTCTCTGGGTAGGTACTGGCTAGTAATAGTGGTATTTTTAGCTTCATCTAAGTGGGTACTCGATAGTTCTATCTGTTATTAACTTCATCCAGACGAGTACTCACTAGTTATAGACGGACACTGGCTTGTTCTAAGCAGGAATCGGCTACTTCTAGAAAGCCATAGACCCTTAGAGATGATTCTCTCTCTCTCACCTATATCCTCCCGCAGTCTCAACTTCTACGTGAGTAATCCTGACGGAGGGGAAGACGCGGTGACCATGGGTCTGGCCTACACAGGAGGGGTGTGCAAGCCTCACCTCTCCTGTGTCATCAACGAGTTTGGTGTGGTCAACTACCGGGGTCGTCCATACCCGTCTTCGGGAGCACTCAGCTCCTACGTCCTCGCCCATGAAATCGGACACAGGTGAGAAGGGGAATAGAACAGGTAGAATAAATTATCTGATGAAGAGGGTCTCTGACTGACGCCGAAATATTCCGATATCTTTCTTTGTTTAGTCTTTCTTTTTCAGTTCAATTAATTTTTTTTTGCTTTCAAGTGCTACTGAATAACATATAAAATAAAAATAGTATAGATAAATGATATAATTAAAAATATAAATTCTGTTTCATGTGGTTTCCGGCTGAAACTGACCTTAATGGTGGTGTACCCTGGTGGTGTACCCTGGTGGTGTACCCTGGTGATGTACCCTGGTGGTGTACCCTGGTGGTGTGCCCTGGTGGTGTGCCCTGGTGGTGTACCCTGGTGGTGTATCCTGGTGGTGTACCCTGGTGGTGTACCCTGGTGGTGTGCCCTGGTGGTGTACCTTTCTGGTGGTGTACCTGGTGGTGTACCCTGGTGGTGTGCCCTGGTGGTGATACCCTGGTGGTGTGCCCTGGTGGTGTACCCTGGTGGTGTACCCTGGTGGTGTACCCTGGTGGTGTACCCTGGTGGTGTGCCCTGGTGGTGTACCCTGGTGGTGTACCCTGGTGGTGTACCCTGGTGGTGTACCATGGTGGTGTACCCTGGTGGTGTACCCTGGTGGTGTACCCTGGCAGCCTGGGTCTCCGTCATGACGGAGTCAGCAACGAGTGTGCCAGAAGCGGGTTTATTATGGCAGCTGGCAGAGGCCTGAAGGGTGCCACCACCTGGTCCAGCTGTGCCAGGGAGAAGATCCTCAAGCAGAAGTAAGGAGAGAGAGAGAGAGAGAGGAGAGAGAGAGAGAGAGAGAGAGAGGAGAGAGAGAGAAGAGAGAGAGAGAGAGAGAGAGAGAGAGAGAGAGAGAGAGAGAGATTTCCTGAGATAAAAAGATACGAGAGTGTTTCGTCGCGAGAAGCATTCATACACAACACACACACACACACCACACACACAACACACACACACACACACACACAACACACACCGGGCCAGGAGCTAGTACTCGACACCTGCAACCTACAAGCGGGGGGGGGGGAAATATAGTAGACCTTCGCGGAGATTCTCTCAGGAAACCAGGAGGCTGAAAGACATGATAAGAGGAGCAGCAAAGCAACGGATAACAAAAGGCAATGAACTCTGGAGGGAGAGGAAGTGGGAGGAGGTGAGGAGGACGTGGAGGCTCACCCTCAGAGGCAATATCAAGCTCACACCCATATAATCCCTCAATCCTCAACCCACCTTCCCATTGAGACACAATAACTCATGAACCATACCCTGCCCTGGCATCCTCCCTCACCTGCGTCCCTCCCCAATTCTTAACTCCAACCAGTGCAGGATCTTTCCTGACAACCACCACCCATTCCCGTCCCTATCTTCTCTTCCCTTTGTTCTTCACTCTTCTCATCCTCCCTCATCCACACTCCATCCCCATCCGATGTAGGATCCACCCCAACAACCAGCCGTTACTCTCACCTCAACCTCCACCCCCTCATTAGACGATAGCAGAGGTGGCTAGAAGAGCCCACATTGGCAATGCAACACTAGTGATCATGGGAGACTTCAACCATAAGGAAATAAGCCAGGGAAGTCCGGAGCCTCGCAAGAAACCGGAAACGTGGCGAGCTAAGTTGCTGGTGGTGGCGATGGAAAACTTCACGAGTCAACATGTAAGGGATACAACGAGGGAGAGAGAAGGCGACAAATCTGAGTGACTCGTAGGTGACTGATGTAAGGGACATGAATATGAGAAGCCCCTTGGTGCTAATGACCACGCAGTGCTGAGGTTCGAATACTTTCTGCAAGCCAACGTGGAGAGGAACACAGAACGTGGAGGAAGGAACAAACCCGACTTCATGGTGGTATAAGGTAATTCCTGAGCAGAGTTCCATGGGGACAGAAGTTAGAAGACAGAAAGGAAATGATGGCATATGTAGCTTGGAAGTGTCAGGAGGCAGATGAGAAATTCATAAGCAGAAGAAGCACAGGCGAGAGTAGTGTGAGAGACAAGAAGGCAAAAGCTAAAAGTGCAAAAAAATATGGAAGAAATATAGAAAACAAAGAAAGCTAGAGAATAGTGAACAAAGCAGAAGAGCCAGAGACGAATACTCGTTGATAAGAGAGGCTGAACGACAATCTGAGAGTAAGGTAACATCGAAAGCCAAATCTGAGCCAAAAATTGATAAACCACATCATAAAGATAACTGTGAAAGCCCAGGTAATAAGGCTGAAGAAGGAAGGAAGGAAGCTCACTAGGATTGATCACGACGTCTGTGAGGCGCTGAACTAAAGACTGAGAAAGGTATTTACAGTAGAATCGGGAATACCGTAGAGTCAAAGAGGTAGAGTGCATTAGCGAATACTGGACACAATACAAACACCGGAAGCAAGTACAGGTTCGGAAGACAAAGGCTACAAACCTCTCTGAATGAAGACCTCGGAGTGAACTTAGTCCCAGGCATTTGGCCTGAAGCACTTATCAACCGAATAAACGCTGCAGCAAATACTAGATTAGTAAACTTAAATGTGGCTTTCAGGAGCCCTCATCTGATAAAGCACGCAAAGAAACAGTCCCAGAACTGAGGTGTATGAACTATGAGGAGAGGCTAGAGCAGCTAAACCTGACAACATTAGAGGACAGAAGGACCAGAGGTGACATGATTACAATGTGCAAGATACTGACAGGAAATGACAGAGTGGAGCGTGTTTGAGAGGCGGGACTCAGGTACACGAGGGCACAGCTAGAAGTTAAGAACACAGATGAGTCTCAGGATGTTAGGAAACACTTCTTAAGCCTTAAGAGTGGCCATGAAGTGGAACAACTTACACAACAAAGTGGTAGCGGCGGGATCCATGCATACATTTAATAATAAGTATGATAGAGCCTTCACCTCTCCGCTGACCAGTAGTAGTCAGCAGAGAAACGGGGGTCAGGAGCTGACACTTGACCCCATGCTAGTAACAATTAGGTGAGCACGCACTCACACACACCACACACACACACACACACACACACACACACACACACACACACACACACACACACACACACACACACCACACACACACACACACACACACACACACACACACAAACAAACACACACACACACACACACACACACACACACACACACACACACACACACACACACACACACACATACATACACAAAACAAACACAAACAAGCACGAACACATACGCACAAATGCACACACACACACACACACACACACACACAACAGGCACATACACACACTCCCACACACACACACACACACACACACACACACACACACACACACACACACACACACACACACACACACACACACACACACACACATACAGGCACACCCACACTGTGGGTGCGATGGTCGTGCCTTTGTGGTGTGATAGTCGTGCCCTGGTGGTATGATAGTCGTGCCTTGGTGGTGTGACAGTCGTGCCCTTGTGGTGTGATAGTTGTGCTCTGGTGGTGTGATAGTCGTGCCCTGGTGGCTTGATAGTCGTACCCTGGTGGTGTGATAGTCGTGCCCTGGTGATATGATAGTCGTGCCTTAGTGGTGTGTTAGTTGTGCCCTGGTGGTGTGATAGTCGTGCCCTGGTGGTGTGATAGTCGTGCCCTGGTGGTGTGATAGCCGTGCCCTAGTGGTGTGATAGTCGTGCCCTGATGGTGTGATAATCGTGCCCTGGTGGTGTGATAGTCGTACCCTGGTGGTGTGATAGTTGTACCCTGGTGGTGTGATAGTTGTGCCCTGGTGGCGTGATAGTCGTGCCCTGGTGGTGTGATAGTCGTGCCCTGGTGGCGTGATAGTCGTGCCCTGGTGGTGTGATAGCCGTGCCCTGGTGGTGTGATAGTCGTACCCTGGTGGTGTGATAGTTGTACCCTGGTGGTGTGATAGTTGTGCCCAGGTGGCGTGATAGTCGTGCCCTGGTGGTGTGATAGTCGTGCCCTGGTGGTGTGATAGTCGTGCCCTGGTGGTGTGATAGTCGTACCCTAGTGGTGTGATAATCGTGCCCTGGTGGTTTGATAGTCGTGCCCTGGTGGCGTGAAAGTCGTGCCCTGGTGGTGTGATAGTCGTGCCCTGGTGGCGTGATAGTCGTGCCCTGGTGGTGTGATAGTCGTGCTCTGGTAGCGTGAAAGTCGTGCCCTGGTGGTGTGATAGTCGTGCTCTGGTGGCGTGAAAGTCGTGCCCTGGTGATGTGATAGTCGTGCCCTGGTGGTGTGATAGTCGTGCCCTGGTGGTGTGATAGTCGTGCCCTGGTGGTGTGATAGTCGTGCCCTGGTGGTGTGATAGTCGTGCCCTGGTGGTGTGATAGTCGTGCCCTGGTGGTGTGATAGTCGTGCCCTGGTGGTGTGATAGTCGTGCCCTGGTGGTGTGATAGTCGTGCCCTGGTGGTGTGATAGTCGTGCCCTGGTGGTGTGATAGTCGTGCCCTGGTGGTGTGATAGTCGTGCCCTTGTGGTGTGATAGTCGTGCCCTGGTGATGTGATAGTTGTGCCCTGGTGGTGTGATAGTCGTGCCCTGGTGGTGTGATAGTCGTGCCCTGGTGGTGTGATAGTCGTGCCCTGGTGGTGTGATAGTCGTGCCCTGGTGGCGTGATAGTCGTGCCCTGGTGGTTTTCTAACATACATACCATCTTTTTCCCATCAACCCATTGACCAGCCTTGATGCTGGTCAAGGGGTCCTGATCAAAGGTACAGGAGCTAGCATCCGTTTCCTTGGATTAAATCCGATTCTCCCCAATTCCATTGGAGCTGAACGACTGTACGGATTTACGCTTTCCCATAAAGCTCACACTTCCTAGTTCAACCTCACACCTTCCTAGCTCATCCTCACACATTCCTAGCTCAACCTCACACCTTCCTAGTTCAACCTCACACCTTCCTAGTTCAACCTCACACCTTCCTAGTTCAACCTCACACCTTCCTAGTTCAAACTCACACCTTCCTAGTTCAACCTCACACCTTCCTAGTTCAACCTCACACCTTCCTAGTTCAACCTCACACCTTCCTAGTTCAACCTCACACCTTCCTGGTTCAACCTCACACCTTCCTAGCTCATCCTCACACATTCCTAGCTCAACCTCACACCTTCCTAGTTCAACCTCACACCTTCCTAGTTCAACCTCACACCTTTCCTAGTTCAACCTCACACCTTCCTAGTTCAACCTCACACCTTCCTAGTTCAACCTCACACCTTCCTAGTTGAGCCTCCCACCTTCCTAGTTCAACCTCACACCTTCCTAGTTCAACCTCACACCTTCCTAGTTCAACCTCACACCTTCCTGGTTCACCCTCACACCTTCCTAGTTCAACCTCACACCTTCCTAGTTCAACCTCACACCTTCCTAGTTCAACCTACACCTTCCTAGTTCAACCTCACACCTTCCTAGTTCAACCTCACCTTCCTAGTTCAGCCTCACACCTTCTCTGGTGTGAGCTCCACCTTCTGAGGTCAACCTCACACCTTCCTAGTTCAACTTCCCACCTTCTAAGGTCAACTCACACCTTCCTAGTTGAGCCTCCCACCTTCCTAGGTCAACCTCACACCTTCCTAGTTCAACTTCACTCCTTCCTAATTCAACCCCACACGTTCCTAGTTCAACCTTTCATCTTCCTAGTTCAACCTCACATCTTCCTAGCTCAACCTCACATCTTCCTAGCTCAACCTTCTTCACAACCTCAACCTCCTTCTCTCGCCTCCTGCAGGGGGTCGTGCCTTCTCGAGGGAAGTATAGGTGCGTGGGGTGGGATGGGTGGGTTACCGTGGTTGGGGGCAACGAAAACACCTGGAACCTGACCTCTTATAGGGGAATGCCAGGCCAACGCTGGGATGCCACGGCACAGTGCCAACTCTTCTTGAAGGATCCACACGCAGGTCTAGCTGATGTACTGGCCATTAAGGTTATATTATTATTATTATTATTATTATTATTATTATTATTATTATTATTATTATATTATTATTATTATTTATTATTATTATTATTATTATTATTATTATTATTTTATATTATATATTATTATTATTATTATTATTATTATATTATTATTATTATTATTATTATTATTATTATTAATATTATTATTAATCATTAAATCCCAACATACATAAATTATACTGTCAAGGCACCTTATTTATTCACCTAATCACCAAAATATGTCCCCTAGCCTCCAGTGTATTTTTTCACCTAGCCACGTGTATGTCACCGAACCACCTGCATGTCACCTAGCCAGCTGTATGTCACCTAGCCACCTGTATGTCACCTAGCCACCTGTATGTCACCTAGCCACGTGTATGTCACCTAGTTACGTGCATGTCCCCTGTATATGGCTACTACTCACCTAAATATACTCTCTCCCCAGGAAATCTGCACTAGCGTCACCTGTGTCTCCCCTAACCGCATCTCCTCTTACCTGGCGGGCCCAGCGCTGGAGACTACCCACTGCGGGGGCAAGAATGTAAGTGAGAGAAAGAGAGAGAGAGAGAAGAGAGAGAGGAGAGAGAGAGAGAGAGAGAGAGAGAGAGGAGAGAGAGAGAGAGAGAGAGAGAGAGAGAGAGAGAGAGAGAGAGAGAGAGAGATACACCAGCATTCCAGTATAGTTCATGTCTTCCATCTCTATTTCTCTCCCCTCTTTCTTCCTCCCCCAGTGGTGTCGCGGGGGAGTCTGCGTCCCCTGGGGCGCTGATGGACCCCAGGAGGTGGTGGCTGGTAGCTGGGGCCCCTGGACCCACGGGGAGTGCACGTCAGGATGCGTCGAGGGAGGCACAGGTAGGTACACACACACACACACACACACACATCTCCCCTACCTACAATAGGCAACCAGTTAATTACAGGAGCGTCCGAAGACCTGCTGACGCCGCTACCGGCTGACACCTCACCTGACACAACCCGAGTGAAATAACGATCCGGGAAGCCAGGAAAAGAATTAACGTAACTTTAATTACCGTCAACAGTCAGGTGCCGCGCCGGCGTAATGAAGCAGTCAGCGGGTGCTCACTTCTCCACACACCACGGCAAGTATATATGAACGTTTTTTTTTTTTTGTGAAGGGAAACCGAAATGGGGTTTATTCTGGGCATCGAAATATGGAACTGTCAACGAGGAGAAATGTTTTTAATGGCTGCCTCTTGTTATATGTGAGACCTGTGACGTAAGTGACGTTTTTCATGCTTTTTATAGTCTTTAATGATTGTGTGTTCATATATATATATATATATATATATATATATATATATATATATATATATATATATATATTATATATATATATATATATATATATTATATATATAATATATATATATATTATATATTTTCAAAAGTCGAATTTCTTAAAAAATTACTTTAGATTAGGAGACCGTGGGGTACCATCCAGATGAATAGTTTATGTCAAGGATGTTATCTTGATGATTCACATCACTCATGGTTGCCCAATTGTAGAGAACTCTTCACAATCTTAGCAAGTTCATTTGTGATTGGTCCCTAACTGGCAATAGTAGTTTGCTTCTCAATGCTCTGTTTAAATTTGCTCGACTTGACACCTGAACAGAACAACCTCGCGTTCTGAATTGTCACTGACGTCCTCGATGTTTTCCACTTTCGGAAAAAACTCATGGAAATGCTCATCTGAATCCAGTTAGTCAATCTTTGCGCAGGAAACATACCCCGTTTGGATTGATGACTTGGAGAAGGTTGTATAAGTATCGTTCGTGGCCACAGGATACAGCGTGGAGTATTAAATTTTATGTAAATATAAACTTTCGAGACTATTTTATATTTAAATTTTTCCAGCGTTCAACTTTCCCCGTTTTCTTCCTTCAAAATGTTGCCTTTTTACTGTACTCATCAGGGAGCCAACAGAGAATCTAAAAAGCGTCAATCTCACATTTTGTCCCAACGAATACCACATTGGCTCTCGGATGTTGGCTGCCCTGAATTATAACCTTTTCTGATGGTGTACTGACTGAAGTTTTTGAACGTTCGGTCGTTGAATGGGCTGTCGCAGTGAACCGGTTGATCCCGGATATTCAGATAGATAGTGCTAAGACTTGACATTAGATTTAGGGCAAGATCCTTGACTTCGATGAGTGTGGATTTCTCCAGCTCCTTGCAAACCTTTACGACTCAGGCAGAACAAGATCCTCGCCATCCATCGTGCTTAGGTGCAATGTGCTTTGGACGTTTGACACGGTACCAGGGAATCTTTGTTCTAAGGACGAGAACAGACAACTTAATGCTCGGTAGTTGCCTCGGTGTTTTCTTGATTGCAGAGTTCTGTGCATGAGTCCAAGTGCTTCTTTGTCATATTTACTGATGATGTTCAGCAGGATCTCTTCAATCTCCAAAGCCGAACTGGTCACTGAAATTTCCTTTGACATTGAACCTCTTGTGCAAGTTAATATTAGAGCCTGGAGCTGGTCCACAGCAAGCACTGCAGACCCCAGTCATCGTCACCTTCATCAAGTGGTGGCCGCAGGCAAAATGAAGAAGTTTCCTTCCCAAACACAGTATGGGCCAGTAGGCCTTCTGCAGTGTTCCTACATTCTTATGTTCTTATGTTCTTAAAACAAAATCATGTACCTGGGAACTGTCCAGTGTTTGAGGAAGTCGTTAAGTCTTGGAGAAGCTGGGCAATAGCAATTGTTTGCTCTTCTCGTGTTCCAATAGCAAACATCAAAGTATTGATTCCTATACTGAAGTAATTAACAAAGAATATTCCAAAAAGGAAACTTGACTGCAAGTAATTGAGCCGGTTACTCGAACACCGGATACCCGAGAGTTTACTGTATAAAGAATTAGTCCAGAAAATCTTCAAGCCCCGAGAGCTACCGTAAATATTATGCGAGCTGGCTCAGATTTAGGTAGTGTTATTTTGTCGTGAAGTGGAAAAAACTTTAGAAGATGGGATCGGTAGAAACCGAAAGTTAATTTCTGAACCATTTATTTTTATACATAGTATACATTTATGAGTGGAAATAACCCACAAACAGTAAAGAAAAATCAAGAATAATTGTCTGTATATTTCGATTTCTAACTAAAGTTGTGTTCTGTAGTGGAGAAGCCACATAAACCGTAATGGTTTATTAACGTTACAAGAATGATAACGAGGACATGCAAAAACACACAAAAATAAATTCTTAACTGCCCTGTTTTAATGAACTTTAAAAGAAAACCGTGCCAATAATATACCAACCTAACGCAAATTATCCAGCAGAGGCCACCTTGGTGCGAACTACGTAAATGGCTAAGTGGTCTCCTTTTACGTTTTATGAAGGGGACATTTCCCAGTTTTCACATCAGTCAATCTGAGGATTTCAGCGGCAAGATTTAAGACCCTGAATCGTAATAATAAGAAAATACTGAGTAAAGATGTCGACTCTTTGGTCAATAAAGTTCCTGTGGAAGACGTATTAGACATTTCTGACGAACCCCTGAAGACACATCACTACAAATTTTCCCTCTTCCACACAGACGGTTCCAGCACTTCCAAAATTATGTTTATCCACTAACGTCTTTTCAATGAACGCAGATTTTATTTTTCAAACAAAGGTATGAGTTTAGCCAGGGTAACTTACTCTCACCAGTGCTCTCTAAATCTGTACTTAGTAGATTTGGAAACGTGTACTCCCGAGCACCAAAAATCAGATGTAGTCTGGTATCATTTCCTCGACAACATTTTTACAGCTTGAGATGAAAACTGGAATGATTTTGTAACTTTATTTGGGGATCGTTTCCAATAGTTACCATCCATCAAGGACAAAGTGGAATGAAAGGAACACTGCCACAGCCACGATGGTCACAGCGGGGCCCATGCTAGCTTCTCTATAGTGTATAGAAATACGTATACGTAGTTGGATGAATCTTATTCCAGCCGGCTGGCCGAGTGGCTTACGTACTATCAACTACCTGTTTTCAGCGTGCTGACCAGGACTAAAGAGCAACGCTTGTGGTTTACCGTGCAAACATCACCACACACAAGAAATTATATTAATTTTTTTCAGTCACCCCTCACAGTCTTCAAGGGCTGTAAGGGTACGTAAACTCCAGTCTTCTGGTAGAGAAGAGAAAGTTATCGGAAAATAGTTCTTTAAGCTTGGCTACTAAGAGTTGTTTATCTCATCAGATCTAAGCAAAGCCAATAAGAACTGTTCTAACATCAGATACATATATTGGAAAAAAGAGGGAACGGTGTTGTTTGTGTGTGGGTCGCGCCCTGTATGATAGTCGTGCCATGGTGGTGTGATAGTCGTACCCTGTTGATGTGATAGTCGTGCCCTGGTGATGTGATAGTTGTGCCTTGGTGATATGATAGTCGTGCCCTGGTGGAGTGATAGTCGTACCCTGGTGGTGAGATAGTTGTGCCCTGGTGGTGTGATTGTCGTGCCCTGGTAATGTGATAGTTGTGCCCTGGTGGTAAAATAGTTGTGCCCTGATGGTGTGATAGTTGTGCCCTGGTGGTGTGATAGTCGTACCCTGGCGGTATGATAGTCGTGCCCTGATGATGTGATATTTGTGCCCTGGTGGTGTGATAGTCGTACCCTGGTGATGTGATAGTCGTGCCCTGGTGGTGTGTAGTATTGTGCCTGGTGATGTGATAGTTGTGCCCTGGTGATGTGATAGTTGTGCCCTGGTGGTGTGATAGTCGTACCCTGGTGGTGTGATAGTTGTGTCCTGGTGATGTGATAGTTGTGCCCTGGTGATGTGATAGTTGTGCCCTGGTGGTGTGATAGTCGTACCCTGGTGATGTGATAGTTGTGCCCTGGTGTGATAGTCGTACCCTGGTGGTGTGATAGTCGTGCCCTGGTGATGTGATAGTTGTGCCCTGGTGGAGTGATAGTCGTACCCTGGTGATGTGATAGTTGTGCCCTGGTGGTGTGATAGTCGTGCCCTGGTGGTGTGATACTTGTTCCCTGGTGGTGTGATAGCCGTACCCTGGTGGTGTGATAGTCGTACCCTGTTGATGATGTGATAGTCGTGCCCTGGTGGTGTGATAGTCGTGCCCTGGCGATGTGATAGTTGTGCCTTGGCGATATGATAGTCGTGCCCTGGTGGTGTGATAGTCGTACACTGGTGGTGTGATAGTTGTGCCCTGGTGGTGTGATTGTCGTGCCCTGGTAATGTGATAATTGTGCCCTGGTGGTGAAATAGTCGTGCCCTGGTGGTGTGATAGTTGTGCCCTGGTGGTGTGATAGTCGTACCCTGGCGGTATGATAGTCGTGCCCTGGTGATGTGATATTTGTGCCCTGGTGGTGTGATAGTCGTGCCCTGGTGATGTGATAGTTGTGCCCTGGTGATGTGATAGTTGTGCCCTGGTGGTGTGATAGTCGTGCCCTGGTGATGTGATAGTTGTGCCCTGGTGATGTGATAGTTGTGCCCTGGTGGTGTGATAGTCGTGCCCTGGTGGTGTGATAGTCGTGCCCTGGTGATGTGATAGTTGTGCCCTGGTGGTGTGATAGTCGTGCCCTGGTGATGTGATAGTTGTGCCCTGGTGGTGTGATAGTCGTACCCTGGTGGTGTGGACAGTCGTACCTTGGTGATGTGATAGTCGTACGCTGGTGGTGTGATAGTCGTACCTTGGTGATGTGATAGTCGTACCCTGGTGGTGTGATAGTTGTGCCCTGGTGATGTGATAGTTGTGCCCTGGTGGTGTGATAGTCGTACCCTGGTGGTGTGACAGTCGTACCTTGGTGATGTGATAGTCGTACGCTGGTGGTGTGATAGTCGTACCTTGGTGATGTGATAGTCGTACCCTGGTGGTGTGATAGTTGTGCCCTGGTGGAGTGATAGTCGTATTATGGACCTGTAACAGTCGCTCAAATACACATTCGCTATCCTCCCCTCCGGCCTCGGTGACCTTTATGACTCTTCGAATGACGTCATTAGGCATGACAGGAAAAAACAAATAAAGGCAGTGTGCGTCATTACACACTGCCTGACCTTTCCAAGCTTAAGGGGCACGTAAGTTTTCCCTGTCTACTAATAACACGTTCCTTTTTCCACTACAATCTACCTTGTATATAATTACTATCACATTTGCTTTGTCTGTTTCGTAAGGTGAAGTCCAGGATTTTTGTTTAATTTATGGTCTAACTTAACAAATCTTTGAGGACAGTTGTGTTGCAGAGGTCTGAGCTTTGCATGTATTTATAGGTGTTTCCATGTATCTACAGGTGTTTCCATGTATCTACAGGTGTTTCCATGTATCTACAGGTGTTTCCATGTACTTACTGGTGTTTCCTGTGCAGGTGTTTCCATGTATCTACAGGTGTTTTCCAAGTACTTTTCTGGTGTCCTGTGCAGGTGTTTCCATGTATCTACAGCTGTTTCCAAGTACTTACTGGTGTTTCCTGTGCAGGTGTTTCCATGTATCTACAGGTGTTTCCAAGTACTTACTGGTGTTTCCTGTGCAGGTGTTTCCATGTATTTTACAGGTGTTTCCAAGTACTTACTGGTGTGTCCTGTGCAGGTGTTTCCATGTATCTACAGGTGTTTCCAAGTACTTACTGGTGTGTCCTGTGCAGGTGTTTCCATGTATCTACAGGTGTTTCCAAGTACTTACTGGTGTTTCCTGTGCAGGTGTTTCCATGTATCTACAGGTGTTTCCATGTATCTACAGCTGTTTCCAAGTACTTACTGGTGTTTCCTGTGCAGGTGTTTCCATGTATCTACAGGTGTTTCCAAGTACTTACTGGTGTGTCCTGTGCAGGTGTTTCCATGTATCTACAGCTGTTTCCAAGTACTTACCGGTGTTTCCTGTGCAGGTGTTTCCATGTATCTACAGGTGTTTCCATGTATCTACAGCTGCTTCCAAGTACTTACTGGTGTTTCCTGTGCAGGTGTTTCCATGTGTCTGCAGCTGTTTCCATGTACTTTACAGGTTTTTCCATGTATCAACAGATGTTTGCACATACCTACAGATGTTTCCATGTATTTACAGGTATTTAACATGTACTTACAGGTGTTTTCATGTACTTAAACATGTTTCCATGTAATTACAGATGTTTCAATACACTTACAGGTGTTTCCATGTACTTCTATTGCCTGCTTCCTTCCTTTCTTCCCTCCTCTCTTCCTTCCTTCCTTCCTTCCTTCCTTTCTTCCCGCCTTCCCTCGCTGCCCCCTCGTTCCTTCATCTGAATCTCTTTGTGTGTGACTGTCTCGCTCTCTCTCTCTCCCTCAGGTTATCAAGTATCTCACCGTTGGTGCGATTCTCCACCTGCCAAAAACTCTGTAGAAGGTTGTGTAGGCTCCCAAGTGCGGGTGTCACTGTGTCCTGACGAAGAGGTAAGTTAGTCTCTCTCTCTCACTCATTCTCTTTCTCGATTTCACTCGCTCTCAAGCACGCTAGATTGCTACGCATTCAGATTACTGAAAGGCTGTATGCAAATTAGAAGAGTGCCAATCTCAGAGGTGGTGGCTGTCTGGTACCAGGGAGAGGACTGTTACAGGTACCAGGGAGAGGACTGTCACAGGTACTAGGGAGAGGACTGTCACAGGTACCAGGGAGAGGACTGTCACAGGTACCAGGGAGAGGACTGTCACAGGTACCAGGGAGAGGAATGTCACAGGTACTAGGAAGAGGACTGACACAGGTACCAGGAAGAGGACTGACACAGGTACCAGGAAGAGGACTGTCACAGGTACCAGAGAGAGCACTGTTACAGGTACCAAGGAGAGGACTGTCGCAGGTACCAGGGAGAGGACTGTCACAGGTACCAGGAAAAGGACTGTCACAGGTACCAGGAAGAGGACTGTCACAAGTACCAGGAAGAGGACTGTCACAGGTACCAGGAAGAGGACTGTCACAGGTACCAGGGAGAGGACTATCACAGGTACCAGGGAGAGGACTGTCACAGGTACCAGGGAGAGTACTATCATAGGTACCAGGGAGAGGACTATCACAGGTACCAGGGAGAGGACTATCACAAGTACCAGGGAGAGGCACACCACTGACCTTGCGCCGTAACCTTCAAGTTGTTCTTATGACCTTTTCTTCTGGCTCTTCCAACAGTCTGCCGCAGATTAGAGGACGAAAATTATATTTTCTGCTGCTCTCTTTGCTATCGTTTCTTCCTGCTCCATTTCCCATCTCTACTTCTACCTTCATCTCCCTTGCTTTTTCCTATCCTCTCTTCCCTTTCTTTTATTCCTATCCTCCAATTAATTATCCACTTCCCCGTCCATCATCTCATTCCTCTCTTTCTATACCCATCCCCTGACCTCTTCCCAGTATTGCATTCCTCTCTCTCTCCTCCCTGACCTCTCTTTGATCGTATCTCCAGTCCCCTTTTCTCCTCCTGCTCCCATTTCTTTTCGCTCTCATTTTCTCTCTCTCTCTCTCTCTCTCTCTCTC